CTGCTGCTGCTGCTGCTGCTGCTGCTGCTGCTGCTGCTGCTGCTGCTGCTGCTGCTGCTGCTGCTGCTGCTGCTGCTGCTGCTGTTGTTGTTGTTGTTGTTGTTGTTTGGCTTTATTTAGAGTGGACCTCCTTGTGGTTCAGGCATGCACTCTTCAATACACGAGCAATGATCTCAGTAAATGGTGGGCCTCAGGGTGAAATTTTTCAAAGTTTACTTTTTACTTGACAAAATTAATGTCATTGTTGTAAAATGATGTGTTGTTTTCCTGTGTGATGGCATTCCCCAAACTGTCTCGTCTAGTCGCGTGCATGTGTGATATGAGCATGCGCGATGTTGTAGTCGAGAGTCCTTTTGTCAGTCTTCTTGTTCGTCCTTTTGAGTGTTGTCTCCATTTCCGTCTTGTCAATATAAATAATGTAATACAAACCAGTCTTGTCCTTTGTGTCCTGCGTCCCGGGGAACGGAATGGCTGTGATTCCGTTACAACGTGGTGCCGAAACCCGGGACGCAGAGGATGAGTAAGTTTGTCATGAGTCTGTTCGTCGTCGTCAACAACTAATACAAGTAATAGTACAACTAGAGAGTAAGCTTGGGGATGGAGGAGAGACGAGGAGCTGGTGGAAGCGGAAGATGACGCGGAGAGGAGGCAGAGAAGGTGGTGGACCGGCAGAAGCTGGGGACTGGAGCCTGGGACGGCAGGTACCGCTTGGAGCGTGTGGCCGTGGCTCGCCAGAGGCCAGTGGATGAGTCTGGCATCACCGACTGTGTCGTCCTTTGTTGTTCGTCTTGTTGTTGTCTTGCTCGCTTAATTGTCTGATCATGTTTCTCTCGCTGTTCAGTTCGTTGCTGTGTTGTTGAGTTTGGTTGTCGGTATGTTGCTCTTCTCGTCGTTCTGTTGTTCTGCATTAATTTGCGTTGTAGATTTATTTTGCGCTGCTGCGCACATATTGTTATTATTTTGTTGGAACTTTGGCTCTCGTGTTTCGGTTATCCTTGTGTGCCTGAGTTTAGAGCGTCGGCTCTTGTGTTTTTTGGTTTGGCCCTGTGGTGCGGCTTGGTTGAGAGCGTCGGTTCTTGTGTCTTGGTTTGGCCCTGTGTCGTGGCCCAGTTTTGTTGGGCTACAATGTAAGCTGTTGGTTGGTTTTGGTTTTTCTGTTTTGCTGTGGTTCCTTTTGCTGTTGTGCATGTGGAACGTGGTGTCGGTTTATTATTTTGTGGAATGTCATCAAGGGGGCAGGTGTTGTAAAATGATGTGTTGTTTTCCTGTGTGATGGCATTCCCCAAACTGTCTCGTCTAGTCGCGTGCATGTGTGATATGAGCATGCGCGATGTTGTAGTCGAGAGTCCTTTTGTCAGTCTTCTTGTTCGTCCTTTTGAGTGTTGTCTCCATTTCCGTCTTGTCAATATAAATAATGTAATACAAACCAGTCTTGTCCTTTGTGTCCTGCGTCCCGGGGAACGGAATGGCTGTGATTCCGTTACATCATATAACAGTATGTAAACTTCCATCTGATAAAGGTTTGCATCAATATTAGCCTTTAAGTCCTTTGAATTCTCCCAACACCCAATTGAACACCCATTGAACATTGAACGCCCAATCCACTTCTTGCGCAGCGCTTGCAGCACAAGACCTGTTGATGACATGAACTACATCGTCGAGGTTGTCTACGTCATTCTCCCGCACCTTTTTCCGGAGAAAGTATGCATCGACTGAACACGGAGTGTGCCCAACACGCATGAATGACAAACAAATTGTTGAGTTCAAGCCAACCATAACTTGCCAGGCTAAGTACGCAATGACGAATCGATTCTTATTTTGGCCCACACAGTTGTCGGCATGGAGATGAAGGCGGAGCTCTCCTTTTCCATACGTTTCGAGGTAATGATGAAGCATGGAGATTACTGCATCTGGCCCATGCGTTGACTTTCCATCCTTTCTAATTGTCTGTCCCTCGTGAAACAGTTCATCCGGCGCTTGTAAGCTTCACCGCAGATTCTGAATAACTGTATCCTGAATCTGACTTTGAAGTATAATGGGCCAACTTGACGATAATGGCACGGCGCCTCAAGTTGCTGCGCGAAATCAAATATCAGGTGACTCGTCTGAGGCGAATCTCTCTCCTTCAGTTCCTTTACCACTGCACTCATATTATAATCTTAGATTTATATGTATTGCGACGTCTCCAAACTCGTGGAAACACCGACCAATGTGAAGAGAGTGGGTGATAGCCAACCACGGCAATAGAGATAAGCAGGGGTTACAAACGAATGAATAGCAAAAGCAACAGCAACAGCAACGCCGTGAATAAAGAGGATGTCGATAGCCAATCAAGAGCAACAGAGACGCAAACGGGATATGTGCAAAATGACTCGTCCCCGTCGCTGTCAGACAGAAGGAGCTGGCGCCTCTCCGCTGGCAGTGCGTACAGGTTGTCGTCTTTGCCGCCATCGCTCCCGCTGTCAGCGTACCCGGGGACATCGCCGTAGCAGAAGTCGTCATGCTCATCCAAGAGAGACGTGTCCTCTCGCAGCACATCGACAAACTCAATACTACGCCGCTGGTCTCCAAGGTGCCTTTGAATGATCCGTAAAGGCAGCATCAAACGTTCTCCATTCGATCATCAGGGCAGTCACTCCAGCTTTGCTTTACTGCCTCAACCAAATCCTTCACATTCTCTTTAGCTACCAGCTCAGTGTCGCTTTGCAGGCTTCCGAAGAAAGCAAGATCGTTCACATTCAGATCGGGAGACTGAGCTGGTTGAGTGACAACCCTGATGTCGAAGCCTCCCTTCGCTCCGTGAGTGGCCCAGTGCTTCTGATTTGCTTTCGCTGTATGTGGGCGAGCGCAGTTGTGCTGGTACCATGCGACTTTACCAGCTTCAGGCCCACGTGAGTTCTTACCGTACTACCACATTTTCTGCCTGGTGCTGTCGAACATGCCGCCTTTTTGTAATATGACACGTTGGTACTCTGCTGCATCCACAGCGACTGACTTGATCACATCAGTCTCACTTGCGACAGTCCCCGTACGCGAGTCGTTGCACTTCGCTTTCCTCTGGAGAGTGAAGGGCCATTAACCTACTTTGCCGTCAAAATCATGCTCTGGTCTTGGTCTAGCCATTACAGCCAAGAACATGACCTTTGGCGTTCTCGATTTGTGGTACACTGTGGCGTTAGACGGCATCGCGACGGACTTTTCAAGCTCACCGTCGTCGTTGCGGGCGAACTTTGGGAAGACACGACGAACGGCTCCATCACGGAGGAGATAGAACCATTATCACCACCGTGGCAGGTGTTGAAGTTGTCACCAAAACATTTCCCCGTCTTGTCATACTCGTCGATCACCCATGCCAATCGATCGGCTTTGTGGCGTTGCGTCAACTTCGGCTTGATATATTGTCGCCGCCGTACAGCTCCCATCGCCTTGAACCAGAGGCGCACGGACTCCCTGGAACACTTGAAGCCACTTTCCCCGAGCTTGCCGGGAAGTGTTTGGCATGATAGGTCGCTTTCTCATCCGATTGCTCCTGTTACTTTTGGACAAGTAGCTGCACAGAATGAGCCGTCAGGTTAAGTTTGGGGAATATCTCCTTGAGCTTGTCAAATCCACCGCGAGGTAGCCGATCTTTTCCATTTGATATCTCCATATAGGCAGCAACAAGGCGCCATCGTTGGGAGTGCTTAAGTCTGCGCCTTTCTTTCGACTTCCGTGCGCAACGACTTTCACTGGCGGTTTTTTTACCAGTTACTCGTCTTGCAACTCGCGCTACTCTGGGCGTCTCTTCCTCGTCCCTGACTTTGCCATGACTTATGGAACTGGTAGACCTGAAGGGTATTTGTACCAGCAGATCTGTGTGGGTAGTGAAGCGAACAAGATGCAATAAAACCTGTCAGCGAACTGTCAGAGGGTGTAAGGAGATAAGCGAAAATGTTGCTTCGGCGGAGGAAGTACCTCGTCTTTGACTTCATTGCCTTCATGCTCGATTGCAGTCGCGTTTTCTTTGACAGTTTGAAGTCGCATTTAGCCGGTAAATTTTTAGCGTTTTCAAAATCTGGACCAATTCAGGATGAAAGGTTTTAGCGATCCAAGTTTCAGAATCAATTGGCATGGCAAAACTTTAGCGAAAACACTCCAAAATCACTAAAATATCACCGGAGCTAAATTAGCCGTTTGCAGTACCTGAAATACAATTTTAAGACTGGAAGCTCAGGGTGTTGAGGTGAACGCTAGTGCCATGTACACATTCTAATTCTATGGTTTCTTCAGAGTGCGTGTTCAATGGCCATGTGTGCACGTATGTACATTTATGTGCGTGCATTTGTCTTTCTTCTCTAGCCGAGATCAAGCAGAACGCGGAACACGTTCAAGTGCACATTGCCAAGATGAAGGAAAAAATGGAAGATGCCAGAGAGGACTTGGGTAAAGTCAAAGACAGACTTGTGAAGGAGGTTAGTGGCCTGTACCAGCTCAATCCTAGAACCGGATTTGGGGTTTCCTTTTGCTTTTGTTCTCACGTGATGGTGTGACTCTATTGGCGTTGTGCATGAACCCGTTATCAAGCACAATCCTAGAAGCTTCTCATGATCTAGCGTAAATCTACCAGTGTCAACTGGCTCTCAACAGGCTGTCAAGGTGCCAGCTTGCGTGGCCAGCATGCGCAAGGGAGGAAGCGAGGTGTGCGCGAAACTGTGGAAAACTCCACCGTCACCACCTCTGGCAGCATGTGCCGTGATGCATGCCACAGTACTGGAGTCATACTCAATTTTAAGTTATGTGACATTATTGATGATGTACACATGGGCCGGGTTTGAGGCTGTGAGGTTAACCCTGCATGCAAAGTACCCTGGCTGCAGAGTTATTTGCCACATTTCCCCGACAGGGCACAGAATAAGAGTTCTATTATACAAGTGATTGCATGCTCAGACTGGATCTTGAAGAGGCCATTATCCATAGTTTACACGTATACCACCTTAGCCAGCGATACTGGTCAAACACACTAGCCGCTATATTTGGAGGGTAGTAGGGAAAATTGGACCAAATTGGAATGCTATGTTTGTGTGTGTGTGTGTGTGTGTGTGTGTGTGTGTGTGTGTGTGTATGTGTGTGTGTGCGTGTGTGTATGTGCGTGCATGTGTGCGTGCATGCTATGTACTATGTGCCTTTTTTTCAGTCGAAGGAGGTTTCAGCTAGGGTGCCTGCCTATCTGGAGAGACTTCGCGCTGCTACAAGTCTCGAAAAGTGAGTCAAGTTCTATGATTCTCTCTCCTGTTCCTGGTTTGCTAGTCAATCCCTGGATCATTGAGTCGCATGATTTCGGCCATGTTGTCTCCACTGTCAACGTGCCATGTGCAGTTTCCACATAGGCATGGTCACATGACCAAGACGTGAAGTCACTCCACGCTGTGCATCATCTCTCCATTGCCCCTCGTTTAAGTTCCAGCACTCGTGAGGTTTCCAGTGTGCCACTGGCTATTTCCCAGTACAAGTAGGCTATCCTTAGAGATACTCTCCGGCACCAGAGCTTTTCCACATAAACTGCTCTTCTTGTTCAGTGAGCACAACTGTGCTGGTGGAGTCGATGGATTCTGGCTACACACCACTGTCCATGTCCAAGTTTTGACCGACACATGTCTTCTTTCTCGCTCCTCGTTTCCTTCAGGTTGAAGGCAGTGAAGAGGGCTGCAGCCGTGGAGTTCAAGGAGGTGAGTGGGACCTGTATGCCATATGTTGTGTCTCTAACCAAGAGACTGTGGGTTCACACGTAGAGTTTACATACAAGTTTATTCTACGGTTGCAAAGCAATAAGAAGCGTTGAGGTATGATTGTGCTAGAGGATATAGGAGTTGTATCCCGGGTGCGGGATGCGTTGGGTGTTGGGTGGCAGTACAATGAATTGCTATAGAGAGTTCATGCCTAAGCGGTTGTGGTTTTAGGGTGGATCAATAGTACTTGCAATTAGATGAATACATGTCTGGTACATACACTACATTCCTCCCCTAAATGTTATGGTACATGTTGAGCTACGAGGTATTCCTATACGGCATAACATTTAATGCACAAGAAGAAGAAGCGGATGAGCTGAGAGCACGGGACAGCAATTGTGTGAGCAAGAAGCAATTCAGTCTCTCAGGCGAGCCGGCAGGACTCGGGCTCTCTGCGGGTTACGGCGGGGTTCAGTCGTATCTTGTGCCAGCGGCGACTGGACCTGCTGCGTTGCCGTAGTTGCTGCTACTGGTGTTTGCGCAGGCGGAGGTGTTGGAGTAGCAGCGGCTTGGACACTGGGTGGTGTCGGAACACTAGCTGGCGAATGAGCAGTCGGAAAGCACAAACTGTGATCCGGTTCTGCCACGGACGGCAAAGGCGCTGTGTTCATCGGTACGGATGATTGCGGAGCGGAGTCGGCTGACCGGACCTGGACCGGACCCCACATGACACACCCTTGGTGTAGGCCCAGCTCATCTTTGCGTCGTACAAACGGTTGCATGTCACCGTCGGTTGTTGACAGGGCCCGGCCGGTGCTGACACTGGTTAGGACCTTGGCGAGAACTGGGTCACGGTTTGTGTGACGCGCTATTTCAGCTGCCGTGACTGGAAGCGGGTCGATCTGGGCCATGTTGAACACGTCTGCCCAGTCTAGGCTCTCATCCTGTGGTGAGTGTGGCAACGGTAGGCGTGACAGCCCGTCAGCGTTTGCATGATCGGCTGATTTGCGGTACTTGATCTCATAATTCATGCTTGCTAGGAAGATAGCATACCGCTGTAGGCGGGCCGTCGTCATGGCTGGCAATCCCTTGCTAGGACTGAAGACGGCTGTCAGCGGCTCATGGTCCGTCAGCAGGACGAACGGTCGGCCAAACAGGTACGTGTGGAATTTGCGGACGCCCCAGACAATAGAGAGCGCCTCCTTATCGATCTGGGCGTACCGCTTCTCGGTGTCCGTCAGGGACCGTGACACGAAGGCAATCGGCCTTTCCGTACCATCCGGCATGATGTGCGAGAGCACCGCCCCCAGGCCATATGGCGATGCGTCGGTTGCCAACTGCACGGGCAGATCGGCATCAAAGTGCATGAGGACCTGATCCGAGGCGATGGCTGCCTTGATAGCCTTGAATGCAGCCGCGCATTCAGCTGTCCAGTGCCAAGACTGACCCTTCCGGAGCAGGTTGTTGAGTGGATGCAGGGTCGTGGAGCAGTCTTTGAGGAAGCGCTGGTAGTAGCACACCATGCCCAGAAAGCTCCGTAGCTGGGACACGTTCTGCGGTGCTGGGGCTTCGTTGATAGCCTTGACCTTGCCATCAGTCGTGCGCAAGCCGTGGCGACTGACAATGTGTCCACAGTACTCGACTTGGTCTGCAAAGAACGTGCACTTGGCCGGGTTGACTCTCAGGCCGTGGTCCGACAGACGACTCAGGATGCTTTCCACATTGTCCAGGTGGTCATCGTCGTTGCGGCCGGTGACAATAATGTCGTCCAGTAGGCAGGCCTGGCTTGGGACGCCGTTCAAGATGCGGTCGATAGCCTGTTGCCAGAGCGCTGGGGCAGAGGCAACACCGAACCCGAGTCGGTTGAGCTGATATAGGCCCTTGTGCGTCGTGAGTGTGAGGAGTGGTTTGGATGCGTCATCCATCTCCATTTGGAGGTATGCCTGCTTTAGGTCGATTTTGGTGAATCGCTGGCCTCCAGCCAGGGTGGCGAAGACATCTTCCACGCGTGGTAGCGGGTGCTGGTCCACCTTCAGGTGTGGATTCAATGTGGCTTTGAAATCTCCACAGAGACGAACTGAGCCGTTGGGCTTCATCACAGGCACAATAGGTGTCGCCCACTCACTCCACTGTACCTTACTCACGATACCCAGACCTTCCAGCCTGTCCAGTTCAGCTTCCACCTTTGGCCGCATGGCGTAGGGCAATGGGCGCGCCTTGAGGAAGCGAGGGCTTGCATCGTCCTTCAGCTGGAGACGAGCCTTGGCGTCCTTGAGCTTGCCAAAGTCGTCGCTGAACACATCGGAGAATTTCTCCTTGAGCTGCTCAAGACGCGTACCTGCTAATCCTGGATGCTGCTGGCCAGGGGACACGGTTGCGGAGGGGACGTCAGCCATCTCGACCTGGAACAAGCGCTGCCAGTCGAGAGCGATGTGGGCAAGCAGGTCCCGGCCACAGAGCGCTGGCCCCTGCGTGTCCACCACATGCAGTGGTAGCTCCGCGGATTGATGGTAGTATTCCACGCGTGCTACGAACGTTCCGCGAGGATGCACGGGCTCGCCGGTGTACGTACGCAACTTCAGCTTGCTCGCGGTGAGAGGCGAGGCAGACAGCGACTTTCGATAAATCGCACTCGGAATGATTGACACCGCAGCTCCAGTGTCGACCTGCATGCGGACCGACTGGCCATTGACGATAGCATCAATCCAAAATGCCTTCCGCACGGTCGTGGGTGTCGTTTCATCCGTGGCGACTGCTGGCGCTTGAAGGACGTCTGCGGCTAGAAGAGAAAGTGAATTGAACTCGTCGTCGTCCGCGACATCGACAGCCAAGCTGTGGCAGGCGCTGCTACCACTTGAGCGTTTCGCTGAATCTGTCGATCTTTCCGCGAGGCGCTTCTTGCAAACCTTGCGGAGGTGCCCAGTCTTCCTGCAGTGGCGGCATTCATATGCCTTGAAGGGACATTCACTTGCGCCGTGTGCCGTCGAGCCACAGCGGAAGCATGCTGAATAGCTCGTACGGGATTGACCTGAGTTCGCGGACTTCGCACCTCCGAACGATGGTCTGCCAGCACGACGATGTTGCGATGTGCCCAGAACGTGTACACCAGGAGCAGTGGCACTGCCCGCGAGCTCGGATGCATCTCGAGTAGCTACCTCCAGGCTGTTGGCTTTCTCGATGGCGGTCTTCAGAGTGAGGTCCTTCTCTGCCAACAGAACTTTGCAGAGAGCTTGACTCCTGATACCACACACGAACCGATCCCGCAGCGTGGTATCCAGGACATCGCCAAACTCACAGAATCGTGCCAACCGTCGGAGCTCCGCGAGGTAGGCATTTACTGACTCTCCTTGGCGTTGATCCCGCTTGTGGAAACGGTATCGTTCCGCGATCACCAAGGGCTTCGGAGCACAATGCGCAGCCAGCGCGTCGGACAGCTCCTTCAGCGTCTTGTCCTTCGGTTTGTCCGGGCTGACCAGGTCAGCCAACAGTTTGTAGGTCAAGCCACCAATCAGGGTCAGGAAGGTGGCTACTTGCCTGTCTTCGGCCACATTGTTGGCAGCGAAGTACTGCTCGACGCGGTCATAGTACGTAGACCAATCCGTCGTTCCAACCGAAAATGGTTCCATGGCTCCAATTGCAACGGCCATCTTCGTCGCCAGTTGTTGTGACTCTAACCAAGAGACTGTGGGTTCACACGTAGAGTTTACATACAAGTTTATTCTACGGTTGCAAAGCAATAAGAAGCGTTGAGGTATGATTGTGCTAGAGGATATAGGAGTTGTATCCCGGGTGCGGGATGCGTTGGGTGTTGGGTGGCAGTACAATGAATTGCTATAGAGAGTTCATGCCTAAGCGGTTGTGGTTTTAGGGTGGATCAATAGTACTTGCAATTAGATGAATACATGTCTGGTACATACACTACATTCCTCCCCTAAATGTTATGGTACATGTTGAGCTACGAGGTATTCCTATACGGCATAACATTTAATGCACAAGAAGAAGAAGCGGATGAGCTGAGAGCACGGGACAGCAATTGTGTGAGCAAGAAGCAATTCAGTCTCTCAGGCGAGCCGGCAGGACTCGGGCTCTCTGCGGGTTACGGCGGGGTTCAGTCGTATCTTGTGCCAGCGGCGACTGGACCTGCTGCGTTGCCGTAGTTGCTGCTACTGGTGTTTGCGCAGGCGGAGGTGTTGGAGTAGCAGCGGCTTGGACACTGGGTGGTGTCGGAACACTAGCTGGCGAATGAGCAGTCGGAAAGCACAAACTGTGATCCGGTTCTGCCACGGACGGCAAAGGCGCTGTGTTCATCGGTACGGATGATTGCGGAGCGGAGTCGGCTGACCGGACCTGGACCGGACCCCACATGACACACCCTTGGTGTAGGCCCAGCTCATCTTTGCGTCGTACAAACGGTTGCATGTCACCGTCGGTTGTTGACAGGGCCCGGCCGGTGCTGACACTGGTTAGGACCTTGGCGAGAACTGGGTCACGGTTTGTGTGACGCGCTATTTCAGCTGCCGTGACTGGAAGCGGGTCGATCTGGGCCATGTTGAACACGTCTGCCCAGTCTAGGCTCTCATCCTGTGGTGAGTGTGGCAACGGTAGGCGTGACAGCCCGTCAGCGTTTGCATGATCGGCTGATTTGCGGTACTTGATCTCATAATTCATGCTTGCTAGGAAGATAGCATACCGCTGTAGGCGGGCCGTCGTCATGGCTGGCAATCCCTTGCTAGGACTGAAGACGGCTGTCAGCGGCTCATGGTCCGTCAGCAGGACGAACGGTCGGCCAAACAGGTACGTGTGGAATTTGCGGACGCCCCAGACAATAGAGAGCGCCTCCTTATCGATCTGGGCGTACCGCTTCTCGGTGTCCGTCAGGGACCGTGACACGAAGGCAATCGGCCTTTCCGTACCATCCGGCATGATGTGCGAGAGCACCGCCCCCAGGCCATATGGCGATGCGTCGGTTGCCAACTGCACGGGCAGATCGGCATCAAAGTGCATGAGGACCTGATCCGAGGCGATGGCTGCCTTGATAGCCTTGAATGCAGCCGCGCATTCAGCTGTCCAGTGCCAAGACTGACCCTTCCGGAGCAGGTTGTTGAGTGGATGCAGGGTCGTGGAGCAGTCTTTGAGGAAGCGCTGGTAGTAGCACACCATGCCCAGAAAGCTCCGTAGCTGGGACACGTTCTGCGGTGCTGGGGCTTCGTTGATAGCCTTGACCTTGCCATCAGTCGTGCGCAAGCCGTGGCGACTGACAATGTGTCCACAGTACTCGACTTGGTCTGCAAAGAACGTGCACTTGGCCGGGTTGACTCTCAGGCCGTGGTCCGACAGACGACTCAGGATGCTTTCCACATTGTCCAGGTGGTCATCGTCGTTGCGGCCGGTGACAATAATGTCGTCCAGTAGGCAGGCCTGGCTTGGGACGCCGTTCAAGATGCGGTCGATAGCCTGTTGCCAGAGCGCTGGGGCAGAGGCAACACCGAACCCGAGTCGGTTGAGCTGATATAGGCCCTTGTGCGTCGTGAGTGTGAGGAGTGGTTTGGATGCGTCATCCATCTCCATTTGGAGGTATGCCTGCTTTAGGTCGATTTTGGTGAATCGCTGGCCTCCAGCCAGGGTGGCGAAGACATCTTCCACGCGTGGTAGCGGGTGCTGGTCCACCTTCAGGTGTGGATTCAATGTGGCTTTGAAATCTCCACAGAGACGAACTGAGCCGTTGGGCTTCATCACAGGCACAATAGGTGTCGCCCACTCACTCCACTGTACCTTACTCACGATACCCAGACCTTCCAGCCTGTCCAGTTCAGCTTCCACCTTTGGCCGCATGGCGTAGGGCAATGGGCGCGCCTTGAGGAAGCGAGGGCTTGCATCGTCCTTCAGCTGGAGACGAGCCTTGGCGTCCTTGAGCTTGCCAAAGTCGTCGCTGAACACATCGGAGAATTTTTCCTTGAGCTGCTCAAGACGCGTACCTGCTAATCCTGGATGCTGCTGGCCAGGGAACACGGTTGCGGAGGGGACGTCAGCCATCTCGACCTGGAACAAGCGCTGCCAGTCGAGAGCGATGTGGGCAAGCAGGTCCCGGCCACAGAGCGCTGGCCCCTGCGTGTCCACCACATGCAGTGGTAGCTCCGCGGATTGATGGTAGTATTCCACGCGTGCTACGAACGTTCCGCGAGGATGCACGGGCTCGCCGGTGTACGTACGCAACTTCAGCTTGCTCGCGGTGAGAGGCGAGGCAGACAGCGACTTTCGATAAATCGCACTCGGAATGATTGACACCGCAGCTCCAGTGTCGACCTGCATGCGGACCGACTGGCCATTGACGATAGCATCAATCCAAAATGCCTTCCGCACGGTCGTGGGTGTCGTTTCATCCGTGGCGACTGCTGGCGCTTGAAGGACGTCTGCGGCTAGAAGAGAAAGTGAATTGAACTCGTCGTCGTCCGCGACATCGACAGCCAAGCTGTGGCAGGCGCTGCTACCACTTGAGCGTTTCGCTGAATCTGTCGATCTTTCCGCGAGGCGCTTCTTGCAAACCTTGCGGAGGTGCCCAGTCTTCCTGCAGTGGCGGCATTCATATGCCTTGAAGGGACATTCACTTGCGCCGTGTGCCGTCGAGCCACAGCGGAAGCATGCTGAATAGCTCGTACGGGATTGACCTGAGTTCGCGGACTTCGCACCTCCGAACGATGGTCTGCCAGCACGACGATGTTGCGATGTGCCCAGAACGTGTACACCAGGAGCAGTGGCACTGCCCGCGAGCTCGGATGCATCGCGAGTAGCTACCTCCAGGCTGTTGGCTTTCTCGATGGCGGTCTTCAGAGTGAGGTCCTTCTCTGCCAACAGAACTTTGCAGAGAGCTTGACTCCTGATACCACACACGAACCGATCCCGCAGCGTGGTATCCAGGACATCGCCAAACTCACAGAATCGTGCCAACCGTCGGAGCTCCGCGAGGTAGGCATTTACTGACTCTCCTTGGCGTTGATCCCGCTTGTGGAAACGGTATCGTTCCGCGATCACCAAGGGCTTCGGAGCACAATGCGCAGCCAGCGCGTCGGACAGCTCCTTCAGCGTCTTGTCCTTCGGTTTGTCCGGGCTGACCAGGTCAGCCAACAGTTTGTAGGTCAAGCCACCAATCAGGGTCAGGAAGGTGGCTACTTGCCTGTCTTCGGCCACATTGTTGGCAGCGAAGTACTGCTCGACGCGGTCATAGTACGTAGACCAATCCGTCGTTCCAACCGAAAATGGTTCCATGGCTCCAATTGCAACGGCCATCTTCGTCGCCAGTTGTTGTGTCTCTAACCAAGAGACTGTGGGTTCACACGTAGAGTTTACATACAAGTTTATTCTACGGTTGCAAAGCAATAAGAAGCGTTGAGGTATGATTGTGCTAGAGGATATAGGAGTTGTATCCCGGGTGCGGGATGCGTTGGGTGTTGGGTGGCAGTACAATGAATTGCTATAGAGAGTTCATGCCTAAGCGGTTGTGGTTTTAGGGTGGATCAATAGTACTTGCAATTAGATGAATACATGTCTGGTACATACACTACACCATATGCAGTGGAGGGGGCTCTAACGGTGGTTTGGACATACTAGGAATTAGCCTGGCTGGGATGTTGAAGCTCTTTTGCATCAACCCTTTGGATTCATTTCCTCCTTCCATTGCAAACCTGTAACCTATAGCTGTAACCTATAGCCTATAGCCTATAGGCTGTAGCCTATAGCCTATAGCCTATAGCCTATAGCCTACAGCCTATAGCTGTAACCTATAGCTGTCTTCTCCAAGAACATTCAGTCATGTATGTGATGCACCCGTGCACGCACGCGCTTGCATAAACAAACACGCACACACACATACACACGCACACACGCACACACACACACGCACACGCACACACACACACACACGCACACACACACGCACACACACACACACACACACACACACCATTGACCATTGACCATTGACCATTATTTTGACCATTTGACGCCCATCGCCGGAGGCGATGATAGCGATGCTACAGCAGAAGCCATAGCAACTTGTGCTGGGATTGCACACACACACACACACACACACACACACACACACACACACACACACACACACACACACACACACACACACACACACACACACACACACACACACACACACACACACACACACACACACACACACACACAAGCACATAGTTATTTTCTGAGCCGCTTCTCGCGTCCAGCTCCAGTATGCAGGCTACAATGTCTTGTTTGAACTTGTTTCTGACATATTTGTACTTCAGTTTGGTGAACGGCTTGCGGAGGATGCAAGTGTAGAAGAGGACAAGATAATGAATAAGATCCAGGGAGAAGTTTTTGAAGCCCACGCGACTATGGAGCACTCACTACGGTATGATATGACCAAGACACTTCTTAGGGTTATAGACAACAAGCACAGCATAGTTCTGACGATGGGTGACTGGCCCAAGCACAGCATGTTTCTATTTGTCAAATCAGAGGTCGTGTTAACAGTGTACTCGGCTGCCTTCCCCCTCTTTTCAAACATAGAGCTTTCACCACAATCACTATATCCAGGAGTCAACACCACCTAGACTGTTTGCAAGCTTCGTCAACCTTGCAAAGTGTTCAACTTCTAGAGTACAATGATGCTAGGACCATCCCCCCCCCCCCCCCCTCCCACGACCCATCCAATCATTCAGTCACTACATGCTACCAACTCTACTTTACTTGCAGGGAATGTTGCATTCTCTGAATCGGATAAACAGGGTGCTAAAATTGGCTTCCGCGTGAATTCTTGATCGAAAATGTCTTTCACTTAGTCCAGTCTCCATATTGCTGTGATTCATGACAAATTCTTTGTCTGAATGATGTTGTCGTCTGCTTTTGATAGACTGTCGATGTAGATGGTACTCCAGTAGAAATGAGAATCATGATTGGTTGATCACCGTTGTGTGGATTCTGCTGGGACAGGTTTGCTTGCATTATGGTCTGTTGGTTCCTGCAGCCCGTTTGCTGATGGCGGTTCCTACTCGATGGAGGAGCTATTGGAATACTTTCAAGAGCTGGTGAGGTGTTTGAAAACAGGCGCCCATCTGAATAGCGTTGCAACGTTCTGCTGTGGGAGTTGGCATGAGTGCTGCGTTTGAATGTGTATATGAGAGGAGGACGGTGTGGACTCTCTATAGCACGAGCACAGAGCACCATCCTTTAAGTTAGCTTGAGACCATGCAGAGGATACATGTGGTGTAAGTGCTCAGACCCAGGACAACTTGGTGGATCGACAACTAGGTAGATCGATCAGACCTTGCTCCAGGTGTAGTCGTATTGGTGAGCATCAGTAGAACTACGTGTATTGCTTAGGCTCTGCGGAACAAGGAGGATTGGTCACGGTCTGGCTGAACCAACCGCCACCAATGTGTTTCGCTGTACGAAGGACTGTTTAAACTTGTTGGGCTATCGTGCAGTACTTGTACTTGTACTTGCTCACTGCCAAAACTGGTCACGTGGGTCTCCCCGGGAGAGGGGAGAGAGACTCAAAAGGAATCTTGGAAAGATGACTCAATTGGCCATTGAACCACCCAGCGGCCGACACCCCCTGAAATCCCCAAACTAGGGTGGACTTGAAATGATCCCACTTACGGGCTCACCATACCTCAGTAAGTGGGTGAGGACAAGGTGCAGAAAAAGGATTGACGGCATCAGGGTATCCGTCCCGGGATCCAACTGCAGGTACCCCTGCCCCCAGTGAAGGTAATACTTGGTACTAGTGTGGGTGGCTAAATCAGAGTGGATCTGATATAAGCTTCACTAGCACCATTGATTACACAAGAGTTAATCTAGCCAGAAGCAGTCCATGGTTAACAGGTATGTATACTTCAAATAGAAAGTCATTGCGCGAAATCGCGCATCTATGAGCGACATCCACATAAACTGCTGGGACCATGGTTGTGTACTCGAATCTCATTCTGAGCACCCTTTTTTCTTCCTTTTTTCAGCCGTTTTTTTGCAAAAAGTCCTCGAGCTCGACTTTTTTTATCGATCGTTCTTCAAGGAAAGACGAGTGGACAATCGATCAACAGGGCCGAGGGCAAATGCGTCTGGTTGGAGTTCTTGCGTGGCACAGGATGACCAGACACACATATACATACATTGCGACGATCTTATCTGCACAGTGTTTCCTAATACCGCACGCACGACGGTAAGTACAATTCATGTGATTTCAAATTGTTTGTGATCTACAACGTCGCGAGCAGGACGGAAATACAGCAACAGCACGACAACCGTTATACCAGGCAGTAACCAACAGCCACCTCCGTCACATTCTCCAGATCAGAAGGCAAGTGAGGCAGTGAACATGAAGAAATAAAGTATGAAAGAATGAAAAGTGAATAATTCAAAAATCTCAGAAACGTTGAGCGTAAAAAACACTGAGAACAAGAAAAGTGACTTACTTCGATGGCAAAAGACAAAGCGAATGTTCCTCGTATGGACCTGGCTCTTGCGGAATCAGCCACACTGTGGAACAATGTGTTTGATTCCACAAGGGATGGCTACCTGCTCCTCACCAACCAGCCTCCACGACGGTGGTAAAGTCGCCAAAAATACGAAAGTTGAACATTTTGTGCATGCATGCAATAGAAAATTTGTGCTGAGTATGTCGAGTGGCCATTTGCACAGGACAAAGCCGTTGCGCAAGCTGTGACCCTGAAATTTCGTCCATTGGTAGCGAGGGTAACCCTGAGCTGGAAAGTGTAAGGGATGGCATGCTACACTCCCCCGCATACGCTTGACAGCACGATTTGAGGCGTGGAGTAGTAATATACCAGTATCTTACTACCCCCTGATACCTGATGCATGGACGTCGTCATCTTCATCCCGCAGATCGAAAATGTACAGGTGTCGCGTGATTTCGCGCAATGATATGAACCCTGAAACCAACAAAAGTGGTAGGTACAACAATACACCTTCAAGCAGCCGAGCCCGTTGGCAACAGGCCCAACACTATCTGGCATAAGTGTACCCACCAACCGAACTAGCTGGCACACTGCGTTACAGCTCTGATCTGTCTGCTTTCTATGGTCTTTGTATTGCTTGGTCCACAGTGTACAATGTCATGTACATGTGTGGTGTGCTGTGATGCCTCTCTTCGGTGTTGTGTTCCAGGCTAGCCTCAAGTCACAACTGGACAAAACGCAGGCAGGCTTGAAGCGTTTGTTTGAAGGGCTGAGATCGCGCCTTATCTCCAAGCCGGCAGAGTGTGCCAGCACAGTTGACAAAGCGTGAGTTTTGCTGTAGCGTTGACCGAGAAAGTGGGTGCGCCTACCAGTATGTGCATAATTCCCTATGCCCTCTGTGCTCTGTGGTCGTTTCCGTCATGGAGCATTGCTGTGACACTTGGTGTTCTCTGACGTATGTCACAGCGTCATGCCGGATTCTCTGAGAGTAAATTGCAGTGCAATTGGTGTGTACTGGAGGAGATTTGCAGAATGATTACTATGCTACGCATTCTTTGCTTTGCCCTCAGCTAGGCTGAAAGGCAGTGAAAGCATCCAGTCCTCACCTTTGTTCTGCTTTCCCGGTGATTGGAAACGTGTCTTGGTCTATACCTAGTACCTACACTGTTAAGCTCTGTTCACAACTGGCGCGTGGACGCGGTACGCTTGCGGTTCATGCGTGCCCAAACGCCCGCTCAGGCTTTCACAAAAACAGCAATCCGAGTCGAATTTAGCGCGTGGGACACCTTCGAGTACTAATTGTTTGACCCCGCCAGTCAAAGTGACTGGCATGATACGCGCTGAAAATTCTAACATGTTGGAATTTCCATTTCGGCGCGTTTCCGTACGCATGGCGCCCCAAAAGCCAGCAAAAAAATACGCACAAACGCGTGGTTTCACGCGTACACGCGCCAGTTGTGAACACAGCTTTTAAAAGATTAATAACTGTCCTGTGCTTTGTACTAGGTACCAAGCTCATGCTCTTGATATAGACTTCAAACTGGCCAAGGCTAAAGTCATGAGAGACGTAATGAGCAGGATCCACGGTGAGGTGAGTACAGTAACAGCCGGGATAACGGCAGTAAAAGCAGCGTGTGTGTAAGCAGCCCATGCTTGTTGTGAATGGCAAGCCGCATGTGCCCAGATGTTCATGAATGCGTTCAGTGCTTCAATGCATACAGCATAGCACTGGTCATGACCTAAGGGCTTCACTTCCAAGTGAATATCCTATTTCCCCGAATTATAAGTCACGCCTTTTTTGTACTTAACTTCAGGGCCAATGAAGCATGATTACTACTGATGTGAATATATCGAAGCGATATGACATAGACCTTGAAATGGGGGTGTGACGTACAATCGAGTGCGACTTACAAGCAGGGAAAAAACGGTATGTGAAAGGACATACCCCCCCCCCCCACACACACACGTACACATTCACATTCACTCATCTACCTCTCCTCTCCTGGAAGACTCACCTGGATTAGGTACCTACTTGACTTAGGTTGGGAGAGGCAAAAGTAATGAGAAAGAAATTTGCTCTTCCATGTTGAGCTCATGGACAGAAGATGTTTTCTTTTCAACATACCTCCTGTCCCAACGGTTAGAATCGAGTGTGTCACTGTTCCTATTGATGTCACCCATGCCATCACTGATAGTGTGATCCGTGAGTCTTGGCCCAGTCAGTGGAACCGATTTGCTGCATTAGTGTTGTTAGCTTGGGACTTAAGGCAGAGTCAATTGCATTCTGATTCATGTTGCATCAGCAGTTTGCAAAATCACATGTGATCACATGTGTACAGGTGTATACAGATTCAGGCTTGTGCTGTTTCAGTTTGTGGGGCTATAGCTACTTCTGGCACATCGTCAGGCGAAATTACTGGTCAGTCGGCGACACGCATTTTTCACAAAAAATTGCGTTTCACCTGCGGGGAGAGTATGCGTGTACTCGAGTCTCATCCTGAGCACATTTATTTCTTCTTTTTTTTCAGCTCCAGTATAGCTGTATTTTTCATTGCAAAGCCGTCCTCGATTCAGTTGTGTTCGTTGTTCAAACGAAGTGGACATTCAATCATGAAGGCAGAGGACATAGGAGCCTGATTGGAGTTTCTCGTGGCATAGGACGGCCACACAGAGACACTTTGGGATTTTCTGAATATAAAATACCGTACGCACGATGCTGAGATCAATTTGTGCGATATCAAATTGTTTGTGATCTACCACATCGAGCAGAACGGGATCCAAACACAAGCTTACCGACGGTTAGGCTGCCGACCTGACTGGACAAATGATCCCTGGCTTCACCAGACGCCAGAAGTCGGACACCATGTCCTTTGCCGCGACGTCCATCTCCAAAAAGAACTCCATCTTCGTCGTGAAAAGGCTTGAAATACTCAATATTCAACCGAGATTCGCGGTCTCACCCTTTCTCAGATCGAATCACTTTTTGTTGTAGCAGTTGCAGGGCAGATCCCCGCCACTACTTCAACAGAAGATGGCTCCGAAGCATGCCTGGAACAAGCCATATCGAGGTTGCAAGCCACCCCTCTCAGCACTTTTTTTGAAGAAATTCGAAATTTCAATGGTGGAAGATATACTATGAAGAGAATTTCAAAAAGTATGTTTCGCGGAGCGATCGCTCAACCTACGTCATTCAAACTTTGCAGGATGGTTCAGACGTATATGCTGGGCATGGAACCACAGAAGATGATATCATAGCTGACACACAGAGTCACACACACAGCAGATTCGTGTGCACGGATACTAAATTAGTGGACGTCGTCATCTTCTTCCCGCTGATCTCAAATGTACTATGACGTGCTATTTCGCCTGACGTGGCTTACCCCAAGTGGTTATGAGTGCACAATTAGTTCTATTTTAGAAATAAACAGTGAGGAAAACTACATGTATTACAGTATATGCTACATAATGCCCAAGTTGGGTTTTTAATACTATAAATCTGATGTTTTTCTTTCTGGCCGATACTTTCGATGGCAGATGGAAGCTAGCAATGGACAGTGTGCCAAGATTCATGAACTCCTCACGCAGACCCGGGCTGGAATTGCAGACCTTCAAGACCAGAGAGCTCAGAACCGACAGCAGCACATGGTAAGAAGTCCAATTTCCATGTGTTGGTCATGTGCGCTCAGAACTATGGGTACTGCATGACTGTAGTAGTTCATGTAGCAGCCTGCTTGATGATCTGTATACATGTATTGTATGGATGTACATACTCATAATTATATGCTCCATAAATGTAGTAAAATATGAATAAATGAGCTTGGATCAGCAAAACGCCAATATCCATCACATGTGCAAAATTTTCAAAAAAATATTATTCTGCACCATAGCTTAGTGGTAAGAGGATCGCTGGTGGTGACAGTCAATTTTTCTTTAGACTTTTCCCGTTTTCAACTGAATCAAACTACAGTCCATTTCAAAAGTATAGACGCGTGAACTCATACGTACAAGCCGTACGTACTGTAGCGCACGACAGCCGTGAGTTTTGCATGAGTGTTTTCTGGTTTTCAGATGTGTTTTTCAGGTTTTTCTTCGTTGCCGCGGGAAATACAAAAGATGCAAAACACGCAAAGTCGCAAATGAAAAGGTGTGAGGAAAGTCTCAAAAGAAATGAAAGTCTCAAATGAATCTTCTTCTTGTTTGCATTTTCTGAGTGCCTGACTGTAATGGCTTCCAAGGCCCGTAAGAATCTCAGTGATGCCGAGAAAGATATGATTAGTCGTGCTCATTGTTTCTTCGAACAAGAGCTGGATTTTGATTGACGCTTGAGTATCCGAAATCCTCGTCGTCGAACTCACCTTGCAACTGGCGTGAGTGAAACCACTGTCACTCGTTGTGTCAGGCGAAGGGAACAGGGAGGCTCAAATCAAATCAAAAAGAGAAAATATAATTATCATCTCTACTGTATTTCACCCAACAAGATCCAAAACATGCAGAAAAGAAGAGAAAAAAAGGCAGGAGGCGTGATGGGATTCGAATGCCCCACACTTGTACTGGAAATCACGGATCGAAACCACGAGGCTACCAGGACCCGTACAAAAATGCACCCACGATGGTCTGGGCGCAGCACTGTCTCAGCAGGAGCAAAAATCCGAAACAAACTGGTCAAACCCTTAAAACAAACTGGTCTAACCCTTCAAAACAGAAATTGCATGTAAAACCGGAAAACCTGGCCTAAAAATAAACTTCAATTGTAGCGAAAACAAAGTATATAGCCAGAATTGTGAAGCGATGCAGAGACGGAATCTGGAGAAAAAAACTAAAAATATTTAAATAAATCCCATCGAATTTTGCAAAACACTACGCGTCTATAGTTTTGAAATGGACTGTAATAGATAAATTAATATGTTTTCCTCCGAATTTGTCCGTTACTACTTCTTTCCAGTCTCACAATATTTTAGATCAATAACATCACTCGCCAAGTGGTTGAAAAATGAGCCTTTGATTGGCCGGATGAACTCAGAAAGATAGCTGCACCAATTCCGCCACGGTCATTCAAATCGTACTGCATTGCTTGCTATGCATGATTTGTTGGGTGACATCATTGACGGCATAGTAAGTCTAGTGTGTCCATGTCGCAGGTCATCACTGACTTATTCTGTTTTACCCAACGTAGTTGTCGGTATGGAGTGTGATGCTGCGATAGCCAGAACAGGTCACTTCCAGGCGGTGGTCGAGCATGGAGATACCTCTGTTAGGTCAATGTGCTTTACCGCCGTCTTCGCCAATGCACTCGCCTTCGTAGCACACATAGTTGGTCTGGCGTCTCTCGGCCCCGCCACAAATACCAAACGATTGGCCATGGAATCTGACTTTAACATACGGTGGTCCCAAATGCCAAGTGTGGAAAGGCAATACCAATTGCTGTGCAAAATCAAAAGTAAGATGACATACATCATCCGTCTCTTTAGCAGCATCGATCAAGTCCCACAATTGGCTTGCTCGTCCTGAGCATATTCCGAATGCATGGCAGGTGCTCAACTGGCTGCGGCAAATTTCATTTTGTTCCGTGCCCGCTTGACACTCTGTCAATACGCGGCTTCAAGACTACAACCGCATCACCCCCACATGTTGCCGCCGCCATATTCTGCAAAATGTACTGTACGGCATAGTACTATCACCAGTCTCTTTGAAGAAGTTACGGTATCCTTGCTTCTTACAGTGCGTGGCTGGAAGGCATGTTGGAGCTGCTTACTCTAGGTGCAGCAGGCTGGGCTATCCCATGCACAGCAACTGTGTTCTTTAAAATAACTGCTACGAAGTAACACTTGTGCTACTATTTCAAAGTGATGAGCTGGTATTTCTGCGGTGGCCGACTCTTCAATGTCTTTCATCGCTCTGTACTAGCGTGCTCCCCAAGTGCATTCACTTCCAGGAATGCCGCATACTTGCACATGCTGACTCCAAGTACATAGTGGCTATGGTTGTACTCATGCACTTTAGCATGTGGGCTCATTGGGTGCAGAGAAGCTGTTACCGGCCCAACAGGAGCTGTTTCTTCGATTTTCAGGAGCTGGTGCATGGACCAAATAAACTTTCTAGTCGCTCGGCGTCCAAGCCAGCGAAGCAGTTCTTGTACTTGCGCTTGCACCCGTCTCTCTGCCAGTCACGAGTCCTGGAATGTCTTGCTCCGCATCACCACTGTCGATATACGACGAACTCAGGAAGGAGTGTTTCATGGGATCCACAATACCCACTTGGTCATCATCCTCTTCGGAGCTGCTCTCCTCCTAATGGTCTGCAGCCACACAGAGTCGCCTTGCGGCAGGAGCATCATCCTCGCTTTCGTCTGACTCGCTTGATGAATTCCGGCAATCGCCATCCAAATCATCACCTAGGAATGTCGTGCCGTGATTGGTGAAAGTGTCTTCGGCCTCGGCGTCAATGCCGACTGGTGCAATGCTCGTATGCTGTGATGGTAGTGATTCAGTCATGCGCCGGTACGCAACGACGTTGTGACCACCCGCCTAGCTTCCGTAGCTAGTCACTGACAAGACCTCTGGCTTGTTATGCAAAGTTACCACTCAAGGAAAGATTATTGACGAGGAAGAAAGAAAGAAAGGTGTTGAGAAGTTGCCAGATCCGCGATTCGCTCAACTTTAGCATCACTATTTCATCAATTTGATATCAAAACAGAAACGATGGCTTACGCTGATCCGGACTCAGATAGCGATAAGCTAGGTGGAGCGGTGTGACAGTGCATCAGCAAATGGGGAGGTGTGACAGTGTATCAAACGGGGATCATGTGATAATGTGGTGCGGTGTACAGACGTGCATCAAATGGGGATCATGGCTCGAGTGCTCCTTGTCACTACCACTGTCCTCACTGTGTGTCCTGTGTTTGGACATTGCAGACTGGCGGGGTGTCGAGCATGCAAACTACTGGTCTAGGAGAGAAACTTCTGAACATGGCAGAAGAACCTAGCAACGCTGCAGGTGCAAAGCAGCGAAAGAATCCAGAAGATCCAATTGGCTTGGAGCATACTGAACACCAACAGGGACCTGAAAAGGTAAAGACATACTGGTACTCCCTCTGTCTGGGGTGACCACCAGCATTTATGACCAACGTCCTCCACTTGCTCTCAACCCCTGGGGGACCGTAGCTGACTTAGTTGTACGGAATTGGAGCTGTGAAGCGCTATCTTGAAAGATCCATTTAGAATGCACCCTTCTAGTTTGCTAGTCTGCTGTCAACTAGCAGGGTAATTCTGAAAGCTAGAAACGTAGAGTATGGATCACGGGCGTAGCAGCCAGTCCTGCCGGTTCGGCTTTGGCCGGACCACTTTTCACCCAGAAGTGCCCAGAATGCAGGGTTTTGCACCCCAATTTCAAATTTTTCCCGCAGGAGACCTCCGGACCCCCTCCAACCGGACTCCCTCCGACCGGACCCCCTCCGACCGGACCCCCTTCGACCGGACCCCCTCCGACCGGACCCCCTCCGACCGGACCCCCTCCGACCGGACCCCCTCCGACCGGACCCCCTCCGACCGGACCCCCTCCAACAACAGTGCTACGCGCCTGTGGATCTAGTTGTACTATAAATTGATGATCTACACTGTGTAGGTATAGTATGTATGGCCCATCACATCACATCACATAATATTCATGTGCAGATCCTGGACATCACCGTGCAGCTGTTCAGGCTGGCCAAGGTGCGTGCCGACTACCTGGAGGCCTACAAACCCAAGCCCGTTGACACCCCTGCCCCGCCTAGCACGGTTACTCCGAAAACGGCAAGTTCGTCGCTGTCAAGCAGACGACAGTCCTCGACCTCAGTGGCTTCTTCTGATTTTCAAGTCACTGAGCATGGTTGGGATCCAATGGCAGCGATCAACATGACAAGAGGAATACTGGTGTAAGTCCAACTGGTCTACACGTACATAGCACTACATAGATGTGTAACACATCAATAGAGTACAGTCAAATCACTTCCATGTGTGTAGGGAGGTTTCACATGCGAATAAGGGCGGGGAGGCGTGCTTGGTGCTTTTCTTGCATCTGGTTTTAAATGACTGTTGATGTTCCTTTTGCATTTTCAGTGGGCATGTACGGTGTGGTGGGAACTGCTCAAACACACGTGCTTTATGTACATCAGCCTCTCCCCACCCCCACCCCTACCTCCCATGTACACTCACAACCACCTCACGTGACTCTCTACCTCTTTGCACTTTGATAGTTGTTGTCTGATGATGACCAAGAGTCAAACAATACTTGGGGCTATGTGCTCTGTTAGAGCAGGATGTGTGGCAGTTACTTCTGAGTGCTTTGTCTTTTTTGGGTTGCTTATCCTTCACAATCCACTCTTGGTGTGTGCTTTATGTTTGTGTGCGTGTGTTGTGTGTGTGTGTGTGTGTGTGTGTACGTTTGTGTATGTGTATGTGTGTGCATGTGTGTGTGTGTGTGTGTGTGTGTGTGTTTGTGCATGTGTATGTGTGTGTGTGTGTGTCTATGTGTGTGTGTGTGTGTGTGTGTGTGTGTGTGTGTGTGTGTGTTTGTGTGTGTGTGTGTCTATGTGTGTGTGTGTGTGTGTGTGTGTTTGTGTGGGCATATGCGTGTATGTGTTTATGTTCATACGCACATACATGTGTACATGTGATGTGCATTGTCTACAGTGATCAGTACATACCAGCAGCTCCAGGTAAGCTACTGACAACAAGCGTTGCCAGCTATCATGCACACACAACTACGTAGCACGATGTGTCGTTTGGTAATTGGTCCACCCCTGCGAACACCTGCGCTTCACACAATCGATATACTCTCCCAGCATGTGTACGTTTCTGTTATGACCTGTTTTGTGTGTATGCATGTGAATGCATTAAACATATTGGTAATGATGCTATTACAGTCCATATACATGTATATACCTGAATATCCTGTATCTGACCCTGTGTCTGCACAGTCATTGTCAAGCCCGGTGCAACTAGTCGCAATGCGCTGCGACAGCGCTCCACCGACAGTGTGGGACGCACGCCGGTGAGTAGCCGTCATGTGTGTGTTTGGTACTCAGCTGTGTATCTGTGTGTTTGGTACTCAGCTGTGTATCTGACAGTAGCAGTCATACTCGTATATACTACGCTGCTCCCTGCCTACAACAACCACACACACTCTGCACACAGCCTCCTGCCTACAACAACCACACACACTCTGCACACAGCCTCCTGCCTACAACAACCACACACACACACACTCTGCACACAGCCTCCTGCCTAAAATAACACCACTAACTCTGAAACCTATACAGCCTCCACATTCACACACATCTTTCCACACAGCGCTACAAGATCCACCCTCTCCTGGCAGATATACCGGCATGGCCAGTACCATCCTCATGTTGCCTGATGATTGCGAAAGCATGAAACTCTGAGTAGCGACTAACACGCCTTGATCACCCTTGTTGTTCTATGTACTACACTGCTGTGTATGTACTACACTGCTGTGTATGTACTACATTGCTGTGTATGTACTACACTGCTGTGTATCTGAGGAAACTAACTCCTGCCATGGAGGTTATGCCACAAGGAGATCATCTCATGTCATTTCCAAGTACTTGGAAGTCGTGGCAAACATGTGCTTGTGCAGCTGTGGTGGCTGAGCTTTCCCACTTCATACAATGCATCTCTCAATGACGACGTAATCACACAGCCTCTCAGTGCAGCAATGCATCTCAAATAATGATTTAAGTTAATCGCATAGCCTCTAGTGAACTTGGGCTCTTTCGTGAGTTCCAGCTACGGCAGATTGGCATGTACAGTATGTGGCATGCAGTTCCATGTCGTGTGTGCGGATGTTAAATCTTAGGTTGCCGGATTGGTTGGTTGGTCTGTCTATTGAAAGTCCAAAAATCAAATATAAATGCCTGCCAGTCAATTGTGTACACTGATGCTGTATAGCTATTGTGCATACTGGTCAATACATGTCTTGCCATAGCATAGCTGTAAGGTACTTAGTCGGCACTATGTGATGAACTTACTTCATCACGGTCCATTTCACATTTCTGGTTATAGACGAGAGGCGAAAGTCCCGCCACTGGCCAAGCAGAGGATGTTGTGCGAGTGCGCCCTCCCTCTACATCTACCGATCTACAACAGGCCGGTGAACAGCCAGAACTGAACAGGTGAGAGATCATGGTGTCCATGCCGCATTGTCCGTAGCGATCCTTGGTTAACACCATAACACAGTTACTAGTGTGCTATCAAATACCGGCCATGCCTCCATTAGTGCATACAGGTATATACAAGGTATAGATAAACCGTGTTTTTCAAACATATTGTTGATTGACAGCATGTATAAACAAGGATCTAACACCCATACGGTTCAGATGGTCGCAACCGACCGGGGCTCTACCAACCGTGGATGGTTGCAGAAAGGTCACTGTTTCCGAACACGGTGTCCTCCACTTTGTTTCATGATGTCAACCAACAACAAGTATATACAAGCACACAGTCTCATTTTGTCTTGGTTCCTGCTGTTGTGCATCTCACTGTGCTGGTGACTATAGAGCCAGTAGTATCACTGCCCACAGTGGCAAGAACGGCAAGCCTGCTGCAGCTGCACGAAAGGAGCGGCCCTACAGGAGAATGCCCTCATTTGGTGAAGCAAGAGACTCGGACAAAAAGAAGAGCCCCGCTAGGTGAGTAACTACCTTGGTGGGCAGACCCTGCCTACGTGGCGCAAGGTCCTTTTAGGGTTGCATGAGCCAGGCAGCGGCTCTCCTGCAGAGATAAAGAGGATACCATTGATGTAAACGGCTCTGTTCTGCATGACTGGTGTATACCTCTGTTCTGCATGACTGGTGTATACCTCTGTTCTGCATGACTGGTGTAAACGGCTCTGTTCTGCATGACTGGTGTATACCTCTGTTCTGCATGACTGATGTAAACGGCTCTGTTTTGCATGACTGGTGTATACCTGTGTTCTGCATGACTGGTGTATACCTGTGTTCTGCATGACTGGTGTATACCTGTGTTCTGCATGACTGGTGTATACCTGTGTTCTGCATGACTGGTGTATACCTCTGTTCTGCATGACTGGTGTATACCTGTGTTCTGCATGACTGGTGTATACCTCTGTTCTGCATGACTGGTGTATACCTGTGTTCTGCATGACTGGTGTATACCTGTGTTCTGCATGACTGGTGTATACCTCTGTTCTGCATGACTGGTGTATACCTCTGTTCTGCATGACTGGTGTATACCTGTCCTAACATCAGTGTTCTATACTACTATCTCTCGTCATATTCAATGTTTAGATTATTGTCTTCAATGCGTACTATTCTGCGGAGTGGTCGTGAGGGAATGCTCAAGGTTGCTGACGTAAGTTACTCTGACCATACTGGGCCGCTAATCATGGTGCAATTACATGCTAGTAAATGATCATTATTTTATTCATTTTGTCATAGAGCCATACTTGCTAAAGGGAAAAAGTACGTAAGCAATTTCTACATGCACTGAACACTGGAAGTATTGCTACAGATAGCTAGGCAGTAGCTGCAGTACAGGTAGCTAGGCAGTAACTACCGTGGTGTGATGTATACATGCATACATGTACCTTACCAATAGTTACTAGTCTCATTTCATCCTTCTATCTCTCTCTCTCTCTCTCTCCCTCTCTCTCTCTCTCTCTCTCTCTCTCTCTCTCTCTCTCTCTCTTTCTCTCTATCTATCTATCTCTCTATCTATCTATCTCTCTCTGCCCGGTCTACAAATCACTTTCAACCACCTCAGCCAAAGCAGACGGCAGTAGCGGGGATGGTCGGACGACTTCCATGATTGATTCAATGCACTTCAGCCCATCTGTAGATCAGACAATGACTCCTGGAGATGAATTGCGAACAATCCCGCACTAATCCACTCCCTGTCATAATGAGTTCTTTACTTCATGTCCTGAATCAACGGGACATGCACAAGGTAGAAGTCCGGCAGTCCCTACTGCTACCGTCAGCCAAAAACACCAAGGCATGGCACACAATAAACGCTCAGTTGAAGATCCATCTCACTCAACATTTCCCAACCTCATACCTCAAAAACACTAACATCAAAGAGACTCTGGACAAACTAGAGAACTTCATTCACTGGTTTTTCGACCAGAAACCACCACCACCTCCACCAAAACACAAGAATGCAAATAAAAACCGTGCAGTGGAAAAACTCCGGGCTCACAGGCGTGATTTAAAGCGCCAATTTCGTAAGATCAAAAACCCGGACGAAGTACCTGCAGCGCTCAGAAATGAGTATTATTTTTTCAATTGGAAAACAAATCAAGCGTCTTTTGAAACAACAAAAGATGTACGACGATCGATCCCGGAACAAGAGGGACCAGGATGCCGTTCTCAAGGACCCACACATTATGCCTTCGGAAAGAAATTGTTTCAACCAACCAACCATGTCAAACCCACTTTCTCTGACACTACCTGCTTTGAGTACTTCCAACACACATATGCAGACCAGGATTGTGCCACTTCGTACGAATCCTGCCCCAGTGCAGGGAAGCCCCGGGATTGCACCCACCCAGTCGATGAGGGACCCCTACATGGACTGAATTTCAGAATGTTTTGAAGAAGTGTCGCACACCTCTGCACCGGGTCCTGACAAGATACCTTACATAGTTTGGAAGCTTTGTCCCTCCCTTCAATCCATTCTTTTCACCATCTTTGGGCGGGTTTGGGAGAGCAAGATCATTCCAAGGCAGTGGCAGGTAGCGTGTATCACACTCCTGGCCAAGGGGGAGGTGTCTGATGATCCTTCGAAATTCCGACCGATTGCTCTAGCAAACACGTCCGGGAAGATCTTTTTCACCTAAGTTGCAAAGCGCCTCTTGAAACATATGCTAGGCAATAAGTTCTTCGATGGTGACAACCAGAAAGGATTTATGCCTGCAAAGACTGGGTGCTTAGAGCATACATCACTTTGTTATGAGGCGATGCGTGATGCAAAGACGGCAAAACGCCAAATTTGCATTGCGTGGATAGATTTGAAAAATGCATTTGGTTCAGTGCGCCGCAATCTGATACAGTATGCTCTAACCCACTACAGCCTTTCTTTGCAATTCAGGAAATTAATTTTTTCCTACTAACACAGTCTTTGCGCTTTCGTCGTACAACCACACACTCCCACCTTTAATTACAACATTGGTGTTTTCCAGGGGTGCCCCTTGTCCCCGGTCCTTTTCAATATTTGTTTCCAGCTTCTGCTGGACTCACTTGCAGCCCCTGAATTAAGTTGCCTCTCCTATGATTTTAAATCTGCCCCTTTGCAAGTGTCCCAAACAGCTTTTGCTGATGACTTAGGCCTCTATAGCAAATCTAGTGCAGGTTGTCAAAAACTCATTGCGGTCACGGAGGACTTTCTCTCGTGGACTCAATGTATGCAGGCGGCGCCGCACAAATGCAAAAGCAGTGCAGCAAAGCTTGTAGATGGCCGGTACAAACCTTACGATCCCTGCCTGACGATGTCAGGGAGGAAGATCGCTTTCATTGACACTGCATAGTTCAAGTTCCTGGGGCGAAGGCTGCATGCTGATTGCTCGGAGCAGACCCAGCGGGAAGACATCCGTCAACCGCACTGTATCTCTCATGCAAAAAGTAGATGGCTCTTGGCTTCAAGACCACCACAAGCTATGGCTTTACCACCATCTTGTAGTGCCCAAGCTTTCTTGGTCTTTCCAGGTTCTTGAACTCACACAAGGTTTTGTACGTGAACTGCACTCAGTTATGTGTTTACCATTTCTGAAGAAATGGTCAGGCCTACCTCGATGCGCAAACTCTGCCATTCTTTTTATTGGCAGTCGCAAACGCTTTGGCTTACGCCTCCACAGACCATCTGGTAAAAGGAGAGCGATCACTCTCGCGCGCCTTCGCTCTCCTTATTTTCTTTTTGGGCGCACTTTTCGTCGCGCGCCTTGAGAATTTCGAGCGCATCTGCATCACTGTGAAGTGCATTCTGCAAACACTCGAATATTTCGTAACTCGGCTTTCCCTTAACGGAATCACGTAATCGAAAGGTCTATTCGCATTAGAAAGTTCTCAGCTGTCGGCTCCAACAAATCGGAAGTCTATCCGAGGTCGAATAGTGGAGTTACGGCACTCGCAAGGTATTTTACGTACCGTTGCAAATGTTCACTTCCGCACTTGGGTGCCAATCATAATTATTATATTATTTTGACCTAAAGGATTTCCCTCTGTTGCGTGACAGTCCGGGCATGCATAAACCTGTGCGACATCAGGCACAGGTCTTGAGCGGTAAGCTACAGAAGAAAGTAGCGCTCCACGATGAATACTACAAAATTGCCATGGATCTTAGCAAATTGTCTCAATTTCCTATTGCGCGTGTCATCGTCCAAATTGATGAAGGGAAATTAAAGTTGTGATCCGAACAGCTTTCATTTGTAGTGCGTACGGTGATTTTCCAGAACGAATTTGGCAGCTATTGGGTATTGAATCCGATTAGGGTATGGCAAGCGAATGTTGAAAACCCCGTATTGTGCTCGCCTTGGATAAGTATGGTGAGCGACTTTTTTGGGGGGGGGGGGGGGGCAGTGGGCACTGCTCTCCCACCACTCCCCTTGAGAGGATAGCGAGAGTGATTGTTCACTGTCCTGGATTTTTCTTACACGAAGGTCTGCCTCCACTACCTTCCTACGGTGTGGAAAAAGTGCCAGTCCATCAAATGGCACATTCTTCGATCGAGTGGGGACGCGCGCATGAGAGCGCTGTACACTCTGCGTCGGAGTAAGGATGCGAAGCTGACAAAGCGATATGCGGCGACAATAGAGCTGGAGTGTGCAGAGGCATCAGTAGGTTTAGGGACTCTCCGTCCACCGTCATCTTCAAGTCATCGTGCAGGGTTGGGTGCTCGTGCTCCGAAGCAGCATTCCAAACCCCCGAGGAAGGATCTCCTTCAAACATTTGAGGAGATCAACGCGCAGGAGCAGATTTTGAGGCTGAAGACTCTTCAGGTGCAAGGCAAGTGGTTGGAGTGGACATCGGTGATGTGGCAGGACCTCTCGTGGAAATCCCTTTTGTACGGTGGTACTGGTAAGGATTTGAAATTTCTTCTCGCATCAACCCTCCTTCTCCGACGAACCTACGCCGTTGGGGAAACACCGTATTGGATCCGTACTGTAGTTTGTGCCGTGACTGGGCCTGTACTACGCGCCACGTGCTTGGCGCTTGTCGCGTAGCGCTGGACCAGGGACGTTACACCTGGAGGCACGACAATGTACTCGGGGTCATCGTCAGGAACATGCGTGAGGAGATTCGAATCCGCACTGCTGCAAACACCGAAAATTCAAATGAGCTTGACTTCATCTCGTTTTGCAAGGCGGGGGGGGGGAGGGGGGGGAAGCCAGTTCGCGTTCAGCCCAGACGAAAGTTGGTTACGACTGATCTCCTGTCAGCGGCCTCAGACTGGAAACTTCTTGTCGACTCAGTTAGTGCAAAGATTTCTTACATAGCTGTGTTGCACTTACCACCTTAAGACCAGATAAAGTTCTGTACTCTACGAGTCGTAGGATTGTATTCTGGATGGAGTTGACAGTTTGTGCTGAGGGCAGATTCAGTGTCAGTAACTCGCGGAAGGACAGGCGGTATGCGGATCTGGCCGATCAATGCCGAGCAAACGGGTGGCAGGTCGTTTCTTTTTTGGTTGAGGTAGGTGTGTGTGGTTTCATCCCGGACTCTCTTCGGAGGGCTCTGAAAGCGCTTGGGTTTTCTAATCGAAGAATAAAATTTATTTGTAATTTGTGCAGTAAGACGTCTCTGCGAAGCAGCTACATCATCTGGTTGCGACGTCAACAAAAACACTGGTCGGAAGATCCACTTTTCTGAGGTACTGTATGTGGGGCTCCGTTTATTGAGGTGCGTTGAAATTTATTCTCTTTATCTTATTATTTCTTTTCTATAATTTCCCCATATGAGTTCCTATCAGTTGCTGTGAACACCTTGAGTGGAGAGCGCTTGCTCGAGCGTTGAACCGGGTTCTTAATCCACCATACCCAGTTCGCAAGGCTGGGCGGGGTTGTGAGCAGGCTTTCATTTCATCTTTTCTTATTATTTCTTATTATTTCTGCTTTTCATCTCATTACAAAAATTCTGCGCATTTTTCTCCATCTGCGCATAAAATCTAGACTGACAACCTGCTTGTTAAATCATGCGCCTGCTTTCAGGCGTAAAAACCCTGTTGTAGAGGTCTCAGTCCTCATTTGTTAGACTTACCTGTCTTTATAAATTTAACTTACTCTCTCTCTCTCTCTACCTCTCTCTCTCTCTCCCTCTCTCTC